TAAATCCCTTTGTCTGTTATGACGTCATCATCATCATGACAACTTTTTCCAAGCGTCTTCTAAAAATCCATGCGTAAATCTTTTTTAATTATCACACATCTAGTCCCTAGAAGATCGTGGGTCAATTTAACTACTACAGTCCCATCATGCAACCCCTACATGACGCGCGTCCCACAATTTCTTCCACAATTAATGTGTACAGTAAACTGATTCCACTTCATTCATCTATGAATAGTTAAAAACACCATTTTTTAAAATCTTTTCCACTCTCTGAACCTCTTTGAGCAAACTTTTTCAACTCTTCATCTCTTGCAAAACCCTTGTTCTCTAAATCTACTTCATCAATGGCATCTTCAACTAAGACTTCCAAGGATTCAATCAAGAACACTAAGGTGCCCAAGAAATCCACAAAGCTTGCTTTAGTTAACAAAATATTTGGCCCATCAGTGGTAGGTAACTAACAATACATTCCTGAACCCCCTCGTGAAGAAGAAAGACGCATAATCTACCAATCCCAAGTACTCATTCTCGATTCTATTTTTCACAAAAACATGCCATGTTAGGTCTTCTTCCTAACCTTTCTGCTGATCCTGCTAAGGTTAAGGAATTTTTCCCTGCTTATCATTGTTATAAGCCTATAGCAAATGGTCAAAAACCTAGGTCTAGTGAAGAAATTAAGGCTGGTGAAAGATCAAAAATTGATGGTCAAGGTTCTCCTTCGACTATAGCTTCTAGAGACCCAACTAACTTAGAGTACATGAACAATAACTTTAGGGTATTTAAGTCATGCCCCTTGTAACACCCCAAATTTTATTGGGATATTTAAATAAGAATATTCGCATTTTTAGTAATTTTCAGGAGTTGTTGTGGATTATTGAGAATTATGGTTTTGGGTCATTTATTTATTAAATAGTAGTATATAATATGAATATATTAGTATTATTATTAATATAAATAAATATAATCTAACTAAGGGCAAATTGGACAATTGAGGAGGAGTTAGTGAGGATAATATTGGAAAGCCCAATTTTAAGGCCAAGAAAGGGGGGGTTGAATTGGGTTAACACCTCATTAAAACTTTTTCCTTTCTTATCACTTCTATACTTGTTGTGTTAAGATACTATCAGATGCATTGCGGAAGCAATAAACATTAAAGCATAAAACAAGTAAAGAACACAAGATATATCCTGGTTCACTTGAGCAACTCTCTCAAGCTAATCCAGTCCACCCTTCCAAGGTGATTTCGCCTCAGTCAGTCGAGGACTTAATCCACTATAACCAAACTGATTACAAATATGCACAAGCTAACTGCAAGTGACTAACAAATGGACAATGACACATTCAGGGATCCCTTAGGATATAACGTTCATTGACTTCTAATAGAATCCGATCACAAGAGATCTCCTGTTAGAATTCCACAAATAACAACTGTCATTTGTCATCTCAAGTATTCTGATCTTCACAAGATCACTTGAGGAACCCCTAATTCTAAAATAGAATTTATGTTGCCGGAGATTACATGAGTGTTTCTTAACAAGTAGATTACTCCTAATTAAGTACATGGCAAGTATTGAGCAACAGCTCCTTGCATACTAATATAGAAATTAATCTAAAGACAAATCTTTAAGAGATTATTATCACAATAGTTTCCATATAGCTTAAAAGCTTTTCTTATTGAGCATTGTGGCTTCTTTTCATAAAGCTTTTCTTTGGTTAAGCAAAACTGGTTCAGCAAGCTACGCAAGCTGACTTAACTAGGTCACAACAGCTAACCAACATTTGAATGAATCAAATTATCTTCCTTTTATAATGCAGATTTGTGAGGGTAGAGATGTCCTTTCAAATTATTCCAACGGTCATTTCCAACGGATAGAATAAGCATGTGTTGGATAGTACAGTGACATCACTTTTCTTTGTCTTCTTCTTGTAACGTTAATATCTTAACTTAGGAAACCACGCTTATGAATAGTACAAAATTCTTTGTCATACTGGAACAATTGCATACATTGTACTTTAGTCTTCATGATTCTTCTGATGATACATCTGATGAGTAGTTCAGAACTACTTTAGTATGATAGCATAATGGCATCAGAGTGTTAACTTTAAACACATGTTTATCAGAGTGAATAGCAAATGCTTATCTGATGAGGAACATGTCTTTATCTGGGTGAAGCTTCTTCTGATACATAATCTTCAACTTCAGAATCCAGTCTTCAGCATTCCAAGATCCACGTTTCAACTGAAACATTCTTGAGAATCTTCGTGACTTAATTCCTCAGAAATCATGTCTTCAGAGTTTTCAGAGTCTTGATCTTTAGAACACGTCTTCAGAGTCTTTCTGCACTTGGTCTTCAGAGCCTTCGGCCTTCAGAACTTCAAGTCATCAGAGTCTTGATCTTTAGAACACGTCTTCAGAGTCTTTCTGCACTTGGTCTTCAGAGGACTGCATCTCAGATGCGTTGATAGCTTCCAGATCATACACACTTCTCAGAACATAATCCATAAGAGCATTGCAACTGCAATATACAGCATCTTTGGATCTTTTTGATTGTGATCAGATACAGAGCTATACTAGCTTCTTCAATACGCCTTGTTTGCTTTCAGATCAGCTGCACTTCTCAGAACATAATCCACAAGAGCATTGCAACTGCAATATACAGCATCATTGGATCTTTCTGATTATGATCAGATACAGAGGCAAACTTGCTTCTTGAATAAGCACTTTAAGTTCTTCGCCCAGAGTCTCACGTTGATCTTCGCTCAGAGTTTCACGTTGTTCTTCGCTCAGAGTCTAACATTGAATGCTACACCTTATGTCACGTCACACAAAGTAACTCCATATTGTCTTTAATGCACTTATTGATATTGTTTGTTGATTTAATATCTTTATTTAATGATCTGCACACAACAAACATTAGAACATAAAATGGTTCTTTCACAAATACTTAATTGTTATCATCAAAACATAGAGATAACATGTAGAGACAATTCTTGCTCTTACAATCTCCCCCTTTTTGATGATGACAAAAACATGTACTTTGATAGAACATTTTATACAGGGTAATCACCAAGTATTAACATATTCAGAGTTTCAAGCAACAACTCCCCCTGAATTTGTTAACCTTAAAAAAAATTATGCTTGTTCAGAGACTTTCTCTGATCCCAAGATTCACAAAATAGAAATATTTAAAGAGATAGAAGATAAGGGATACTTCACTACAATATAAGAGAGCATAAGTCTTTAGCATCTGGACTAGTTCATCAGAACTTATCTTCTCTAAACATTGTATCAGAGTCATACATCTTCAGAATCTTCTAGAGCATTTTCACATTTGTAACTCAGATACCAAACAGTTTTTATTGTGTTTAACAACTTAGCCATGCTGTTTAGCCAAATTAGTTTATTAGATGATAAAACTCCCCCTGAGTTTCAGACTGGGTGTAAATTCAATATTCTGACTTGTGAACCTTACTGGGTGAACTCCCCCTGGCTACAATAGGTCAGATGTTTAGATCTTCAGAACTCCCACTGAATCTGATACAAGTTCATGATTCTGAGTCTGAGACCAATTCTTGCTTTTATGAAGATTTCTGATTCTTATGCTCTGTTTATCATATTCACAGAGTTTACATCTTCTGAACATAATAGTTCCAGATGACTTTAACTTTCAGAGTTATTTCAACCTCTTGAAAAGTATTGGGTCCATCACTACAACAAAAATGATTTTTGGCAACAACTCAAAACCGCAACCTAAAGTGCAATAACCGTAGCCTAAGGCTTTAGGGGACGGTTTATCAGACGTGGAATAAATGGCCGTTGCCTATTCCTTTAGAGCGCAGTTTTTTTATTTATAACCACGGATTCAAAACACCGTTGCCTAAATCATCAAATTCCACGGTTTTAGTTGTAGTTTTAGGCTGCGGTTTTCTAGTGACAACACAAAATAACCGTCCCCAAAACATGAATATACAACGGCTATAAAAAAGCAACAAATGAAAACCGTAGCTAGTTTATAATTTCATTTAAAGAACCGCGCCTAAAACTTAGGAAAAGTCCACAGTTTTTAATAAGCAACCGTTAAAAAGTCCACAGTTTTTGTTGGATCTACTAAATTCTTAGTCTTGCTCTTGTGCACTGTAGTTCCTCTGTAGTTATGAAAATTTCTATTGAATTGTATTTGTTATGCAATTTGGGCATCTTGTGAAGATCATTAATTTATAATCGGTTATGAACTTACAATGCCAAGCAATAATCTAAAACATTGCCAATTTTAACACTTTTCTGTCCAGTATCGGTAAAACTCTATATGTATATTTATATTTGTATTAATATTAATACAACAACAAAGGAGAGATAACTCTACATGTATATTTATATTTGAACTTCATTGTATAGTTTGCGATTTTCTTCCAGAACCCTATGATATCCAGAAGCAGCCTGAGCTAAGCTGTGAATATGCATTCCTGCAAAGAAAAACAACATAAAAGTTATGTAAGATGCAGCTTGTAATTCACTAGTACACTAAGAGAAGGATGAGAACAAAATCAATGTGATTTGATCACAGATCCATCCTTACCAAGATTGGAAAATCCATCACGAAATTTCATTTGCATGAACTGCATACCAGCTTTTGTCGTGTGAAGAGTAAGCTTTAGATCCTACAAAATATGCAGAAATATTTAATTAGCAGGGTGAAAAAATTGCAAGAAATAAAATGGCATTCACTATTTCATGTTCTGTACTTGAATGTCTCTTTGTTGTTGGTTAAAAAGAATTTTCTCTTTAAGGTGTTGGTTTTGCAATTCCTCAGCAGCCACATGATTTTTATGAATTTTGTTCACCACCTAATCAATCATAAAATCATTGACTTAAATAAATGAAGCATTTCCGATCTTCAGGTTCTATAGAATATGCTAATCAGAAGGTTCATGTTACCTTTTTATCTGCCACGACAAACTTTGAGGCAGATCCGTTTCTTTGAGAAACATGATCTCTTCAATTATCGGGCTTCATCCTCAAGGTTGTGGAAACCGTTAGTCAGGTCCTCGTGTAGCTGAGTAAATTTGGCAACCAATGCTGATTCCCCTTCAGCAGGGTCCTCAAATTTCTGAGACCTGCAATAACAAACCAACATAATAAGACCTACTTTACATGTCAAAATAAGTCATTCAAGGTAGCCCAACAATTACTCACACTAAACGATAGAAGAGATCTCCCAAACGATGCTTGATGAGAGTATAAGTTATCTTCTGACCATCAGTACCAGCTCCCCTCTCTACTGCCTGCACATGTAAGCAAGTCTTATGTTAAAGATCTATAATTTGAATGCAATTCAGCCATCATACTGAAATCTCTTTTCAGGCAGAAGTAATAACACTCTGACTGGACTATGATAAAGAATACGAATAGACGGGATACATATACAACCACTGCTTACAACCTACATGCCCACATTTGGATAGATTTTTCCTTATTCTAATGTAAGTAACATTGTTCAATAAAAAAATGAAAGTAACATTGTTTGATTCCTTAGACCACCATACCTGATTTGCCAAATTGTAGAAATGAATAATGTTGCACATCATCCAGACAGACTTGTAGAAGGGACAAAACTTGTCATATCTATTACACACAAAATGTAACAATATAAGAGAGACAACAAATAAAAACACTAACATGAGAAATGTATCAAAGAAGTTAACAATTTACAAGGGCAGTTACGGCGTAAACTCTTCTTCAGATGGCTCTGCTGGTAAATCTTTAGCAGCAACAACTCCGATCATTTTTCTCAACCGCCCCTGCTTAGAACTAATTTTCAGAACCATAAGCTTATAACACTCACAAAAATGTAAAGCCAGCTCTCCTACTTCCTTGATGAGCTCCGCAACTTTATCCTCTTCACGGACCGCCATCCGCCATCAACAACATTGTCCAAGACTAAAGCACACAGTCCACCAACAATACAAAAATGTTTACATTTATTAGACTATTTACCTTCTAAATCTTCAGCTGCTTCTCCACTCTCCTCAATTATCTGAGTTTGTGATGCTTCTTACATCGGACTCAGAATCTGAAATTAATAAGGAAAGGAAAGATTGAAAAAAAGTAAGGAAAACGTAGTTTCATTCTCTAGTTTTAACCAATAACAATGGGGTAGATAACCATTTTAATACTTTTGAAAATACGAATCATGAAATATTATACCTTGTTAAGTGAGATCTTCATCAACAACTTTCCCTATCTGTTTCAAAAGGATAACATCAGAATTAAATGATGAATCTCTATTTCTTTTGTAAAAGGAAAACATTCTATTTTACCTTATTAAAATGTTCATATTGCTTGTTACCTAGGGCAAATATTCCATGTGTTAGTTGTTGGAGCCATGTGCCTCTGTCCTCTTTACCCTAAAATAAATCTTCAATATCATCAACATTTAAGCAAACTTAAATGTCACCAATCCATAGTATAGTAAATGTGCAGAAATTTCTCGGTCCCTCCCGATGAAGCATTAAATCGGAGAATCAGTAGGACTTGGCCATTCATACACAAAAAATATAGATCATGAGATGCGGAACAATCTAAAAGGGAAAAAGCAAAAACTGAATGGGCCAAAAAAGGAGTAAAGAATTACTCACTTGCTTTAATGAAATAGGAAATGCTAACCTTCCACATTGTTGAGAAGTTTGAACAATCTATTTTATAACGGCCCTTCATATACACTTGATGTCTTTGAGTCAAATTGATTGAAATGAGTGAACAAAGAGAAAGCCTAGATAATAAATTGTTGAAAGTATACTAACCTCAAATATTCTTTCTGCATATGATTATGAATTTAAAAGTGAAAAAATAAAAGCCATTAAAAAGAGAGATAAAGGTTAAGAAGAGGAATAAATTAATATATAACCAAAAAATTTGTTTAATAGAAACCCAATAACCTAACCAAATAAATTAAGACCTGGGCAACCCGGCTCAACATAATAGAAACAAACACAAATTATGCTAGAAAAATGACCCTATTAATAGTCTACTATGTGGTTTTAATCAATATTAACCACATAGCTACTCTAAGCCTTACTGATAAAGCTACCTCTTGCACTAGCATTAAAACTTGTGATTAGAAAAAACAAAGTTACTTGATTCCAATGATTCATTAATCTCAAATGCATCAAAATTAAAAAATGTCTAAAATTAAGACCTAATAACATCATGACATGCATCTTCGTAATATTATAAGAACATTTAGGAAATATTTCATTTCATTTAAAAAAAAGTTATATAACTACTATTTGGTATTTCAAACCTTTGTTATGACACATAGTAGAAATACTGAAGCACTTGTCACACACCATTGGAAATATACCTTAATATGAACCCTCAATAATCAATTGTTTCTAGCAAGAATTTTCCCATAACAAGTTTAACAGAAGGTTAAATAATAAAAGTGAAAAGATTTAAAAAAGGTTAACATTAAAAATGTACCTTCCTTTCTTAAGTATAGAAAGACAATCATCGTAAAGCATAGACCATGCAATATCCAACTAGAGTAACCTTCCATGCTTAGAATCCACAGGATTGACACGAATATGACTCTCTTTTGTATTTAAAGACGAGCTATATGTGCTCCCAAGGATACTTGCGACAACTTCTTTTACAGATTGATCAAAGGAGTTTGCTGAAAGAACCTGTTAAGGACCAGATGTAGTAAGCTTAAAAGACAGAAGGAAAACACAAGGAATACTTAGCTCTATCAAATCAGAGTTTTCCCAAAACACGGTGAAAAATTAGACACAATTTATATTGTAATTCGCGCTCAGCAACCTTCCAAATAGTGATAAAAATTGGTCTACTATTGGCTGATCACATAGCAAAATAGAGCAACAGGACAAGGAAAAAGAATGCCTCTCTAATGCATCCGTTAGCAAACCAATTTGAATTGTCATAGTCTACCATTTTTTATAAATTATAACATATCAAATCCATTGTAATTAAAGCCACTAGTTGTAACAATTGCAATGGTTAAACACTGAAAGTATTATTCTATTAAAGCCAGTACTCTAAAAAAACCATTAGTTGTAACTATTCCATCAAAGTCATTATTCTATTATAAGCACTTTCTATTAGTTTTAACTATTCTATTAAAGCCACTAATTAAATTAAAGCCACTAATATCCAAATCATAAAGTACTACAAATTAGACTCCATAGTATTTTGACAAAACAATTACTTTGCTAAGCTAATTGGCCAACAAATAGGCAAAGTAAGTTATCAGTGTGACATATTTCATAAACCACGGGAGTTTAAATGCATGGGCTAGAAACACATTCCGATGATGATTCTCAATACCAAAGGTCTTTCGCACAACATTCATGGAAGCTTTTGTCATGAAAAATAATAATAAATGCAAGCCAATGAAACTCTTTTCAAGTGAAAAATCATATATACTTGATGATCAAACTATAGCTTGATGTCCCAAAAGTAAATTAAATCCTAAACATGTATGCAAAGATAAATAAATAGTCATTTTAAAATCAAAAGCAAGAAAAAATAAATTTGAGGAAAGATAACATTCGCCTAGGAGAAGATGAAGCTCACAACGGCCGGTGGTAGTCCAACGCGGTGGTTGTGTTTCCAATACCTTTGTCTCAACAGAATAGAAATGAAAAGAAGATAATTCTTGGAAAATGTAACACGAGAAGAAAAACATGGAGGTTCAGTGGTCTCAAAGGGTATTATCGATGGGAAGAGAAGACATATCAACACAACGACATTCGAAACAATATATTATAGAGATGGAAAATATGAATCAAAGTATGAAATGGAAATTCGAATGAAGAAGTTGAGCAGACATACATACCTCTTCATCAGATTTGTGTTGACAACAATTACCGTTTCAACAAAAAAAAGGGTTTAAATAAAGGGAATTAGGGTTTACAACCTTCAAATGTGTTCTCTCAAATTTGTGTTATGCAAAAAATACCCTCCAAATTTGTGTTATGAAACAACCTGCAATCCATGCTCTATGACTATGAGTAACACCCTTTAAAATCGTGCTCTATGAAAACCCTTCAAATTTGATTCACGAGAAAAGATTGGGAAATTTTGTGTAAAGAAGAAAAATTTTCTAAAAAATTGTTTATTTAGGAGAAAAATTGAGTTTGTCATGCGGTTAAAATTTGAGGAAACTGGAAAATGGTAAGGGTTTTCTCTTTGATTTTGGGAGAAAGAAGTTGCAATACGGTTTTTCAGAAACTTAGAAAGAAGGAAAGTAAATTGCCAATTGGGAATCTAAAAATAGTTTATGTTAAACTTCACGTAGTGATAAAATATGGTAAGAGGGAATCGAACTCGTGAGAAAAACATTAGATATGTTAACGACACTCGTGAGAACTGTCGTAGTTCAGGAATAAGGACGGTTTTTTTATAACTGTCGCAAAAAATCATATTTCTTAAATTAATTTTTCAATCATATTTTCAAGTTTGAGTTAGACCACTTCAAGGATAGGGGTTCGATCCCCACTCTGTACATTTAATTATATGCGAATAATTAACATTAAATTTAAAAAAATAGAAATAAAAAATACCACACTTCAAAAGCGTTGCAAAAAAGGAATAAGCTACGGTTATACTATAACCACATTTTCAAAACCGTAGCATATAATAAATAAGGGACGGTTTTGAAAAAAAAGCGTCAACACGTAAAAATGCGTAGCCTATGTTACTTATAGGGACGATTTTACAGTCGTGGTCTATTCCTCCGTTGCCTAAAGTCATTTTTGTTGTAGTGCATCTAATTCTGAACATTGTTCACGAAGTGTATAAATTTGATTATATGAACAACCAGTTCATTTGAACTCAGAGTTCATTCATTCATTTGACCTGTTTCTAGAATGCCTAGTGAACTTGATCAGAGTTCCTCGGTAAAACATCAAATACACTGTTAGTAGTAAACGTAGTTTATATCAGAGTTGATGTTTTCATTCTATCAAGGTTATATCAAAATCATTTACTATTTCTCCCCCTTTTTGACATCATCAAAAAAGGTGAGTTTTCATTAAAAAAACACTATTTGAATTATGTTCTATTTCTCCCTCTTTTATATCATAAATAAATTAGTAGAGTCAAGAAATAAAACCTGAGTGCCTTATTCTTATAGGTTGACATCTTTATCAGAATTTTCTAAAGCGTGCACAAAAGAGAGTTGTTGACAGGTTTCAGTTTAGCAAAGTTATCTTTGAAAACTTGTTGTTCTTTCTTTTATAGCTTGTTGATCTTGTTGACACAAACTGAAAAAGTGATCTTCTTGAATCTCACTAATTGTTACGTTCTCAACGTACAATAGTATTTTCAAAAAAAAACTAACTACAGCAACTGGCTTAGCCTTCTCAGCATCAACAGTTTCTTGTTGCTTCTAAGCAGTAAGTTTGAAGTTTCTTGTCCTTTCTAGCTTGTCTTCTTTTTCCTTAACTATTTGAACTTCAGCTTCAACCACTTCTGAAGAACGTTCCAGAAAGTCTCAAACTCCAGAGGATGAAAGTTCATTTAACTAACAGAATCTGATTCTCGCTAGAGTCATTTTGAGAATCCTGACTCAACTGAGTCTCTCAAGGGACACTTACAATGATATGTTTAGTGATCCAAATTAATGGATATAACAATCATTGACCCAGCTAGAATATGATATGAAGGTTCATGAACATACTCAGAGAATGAATAGTGCTCAGAAGTGATGTGTTGAAAGGACACAAGAGAAAGTGTTCAGAGGGATTTACATCATCTGGTTGTTTTTTTTAACGGAGCAGATGCAGATGGAGAGGAACTTTCAGAATTAATGCTTTCACTTTTCAGAAAGCTCATACATCTATAAGATCTTGAGATCTTCATAGATATTCTTTCTTTGAGTGTTTTCCATTCT